TCCTCACTCCCTCGTCTGTCTGCCGCTTTTTCGTATTTATTACAACAGGCAAAAAGAAACACTGAGCGCAAATCGAGTTAACGAGCTAACAGCGGGGGGGAGGAGGAGCTGGGGGGGACGCGTGCGGACAGCGGCAGCAGTCTAAGCCCGAAAAATTGTCTCCCGCAGCAGCAACAGCAGCAGCCATCCCCAATAAGGCAGACAGGCAGGCAGGCAGTTAGGAAGGCAGCAACCACCAACCGAAAAACACATGCCCAGGGAAAGCAACCCCCAAAAAAAAAGGCAGTCTGAAAAGAAGATTTTGGATTGTGTAACAACTAACAACTTAACCACCCGCCAGACGCAATGCTGGCGTGCCCAACACCCCTTGCTGCCCCCACACCGCCACACCTATTGGAAATAGGTAGAGGCACCACCCCCTGAAAAACATTTGCGTTTGCCCACTTTTCGCTTTTGCCACTTAGCTTCTTCAACTTATTTACGTCTCCATTACAAATAATTGCGCGTCATATTGGCTCAGCTACACTTAGCACCCGGTTGCCACCCCCAAAAAAGTCCGTAACCCTCCACCACCTCCGCGCCCCTTCTTGATAGCCAAGTTGCGTTGGCGCAAATAAATACGCAGCAGCAGCAGCAGAAGATGATGCGGAAACTGAAACAGCTCCAAATGTGGCCCCATTTTGCCTAGACAGATGGTTGGCAACGCCCCTATCCCACAGCCACAGCCACATCCACAGTCACCTCCACAGCCAGCTCCACAATTCGCACCACCCTCCTCTACTGCCGTCCGTTGCGTTCGGTGTGTAAGTGTAAGTAGTCAATACGCTCGAGTATTATTAACGTAAATGCAAAATTGCCAATTTCGAGTGTATTTCCTGTCAACAGAAATTTCCATCGTTACCACTTTGCCCCGCTGCTCGCGCAGCCTCCATGTGCACCTCCACCACCACCACCACCGCCACCTGCCGAGCCCAGCTACTCCTCAACGGTATTCAGTGAAATAAAATTAAAAGCAAAATTATCGCTGAGAGCATGCCACAGAGAATTGCGAAGAGAAACTCTGGCACAAGGCGACCGCTTTTTTTTATGGCGCCTTTTATTTTACTTTTTACCCATTCTTTCTTTACGTTTGCTCGCTCTCTCTCTCTCACACACACTCTCTCCCTCTCTCTCTATCTCTTCCTCTATATTGCTCTATTTTGCGTTGGTGGCACCCACGCGACTCATTCGCTAAATCGTCTTGCCTACGCATTGCTACAAGCGAGAAGTTTTCCACACCCCCCGCCTTCTGGTCGCCCTGTTTCCCTTCCGGGCCGTGTCTTATATTAATATGTCTGGCAATTTCAATTTGACTTTATTGGTAATTTTAAATTTCGTCTCTTCAAATGTCTCGCAACTAGGCGCAGCTTTGTCGCATTCTTGGAAGGGAAAACGGGAAAAGCTGGAGCTAGAGACGGATGCCCAGGGATTGGGGACTGAAGGATGGGCAGGTTGGGGAGGTTGGTTAGCAAGTAACGGGAGCTATTTGTTGCCACGGCTGGCTGGCATTTATTGCAGCACTTCAGACTAACAAATGCAAGTTAGGCATCATGCAAGGCATCAGTAATGCTACTCTTAAATGTAATAGCGAATTAAGGCGATAAACTTGTACAACAAGTGCTGTACGGAATTGTTATCGATTGAATCGACACCAAAGACTTCTCGATTGCGATGATTTCGAACATAATTTAATGCAATTGTTGAAATTACTGAAAAGTTGTGACGGTATTTAGCATTGGAGCAACTTTTTTATTGCACTAATCGGACATTTGATAAAAAAAAAAGAGGAAAACTATCGATACACTTATCGAAGCAGCTACCAATTGCATTTATCTAGCATCTCCAACTGTCGCCCAACAAATTGGCAAATTATCCCATTAGAGACTGCCAATCCACAAGGCCCTCTCCGCCTTTGTTTTCACTCCCCCCACCCCCACCACCCATCACTTTTAGCCATTTAATGTAAACTCATTAGGCAGCACAAAGATATCGATAACCGAATCAGACAAAGCCAGTTACGGCAGGAAAATTGCTTAATTGAACAATTAATAAACGCACAAAAGAGCCACTGAAGTGGTCAGCAGCACCAAGGGCCATGGGCCATGGGCCAAGGACCAAGGACGAGGAGGGAGTGCGATTGCAGCAGGGTATAGATTACAGTCGTAAAAGCAGAAAAGATGCCGACTCCAATATCAAATTCATTTAGGCGGAAAATGAACCTGGAAAAAACGGGAAATGAGTGAATTGAAGCTGGACATAAAACGAAATGAAATCAATGCACAAGGGCAAAGTAAAGGCCAGAAGGGGCAGCGAGACGGTGGGGCATCGTCGGCGACAGTGGAAGTGGCAGTGGCAGTGGAGGTGGAAGTGGAAGTGGCGTTCCATAGGCAAACCACAAAATATCGCATGACAGAAAATCAAGCAACTCATGGCCCCGACTCATTGACCAGGCGGCAACCAGCTCGACCCGGTTCAACTCCGTCCGAGCACAGCAAATGAAATTAGTAGCCAAAACGACTGTCGGAGCTGCAAGCGAGACAGAGACAGACACAGACAGAGAGAGAGAGAGAGAGAGCGAGGAAGAGAGAGACAGAGAAACAAGGTCCAGACCAGAGCAGACCGGACAAAAAGCAAGACCAACAACGAGAGTTAGAAAGAGAGAGAGAGAGTGAGAGAGAGAGAGGGAGGGAGAGGGAGACACCAGCAGCCGACGTTAAAATCAACATCGACATCGATAGCTCGACCAAAGTGGCTAACCGTGCGTGCTGGCTGCCCCTCACCTTCCCCTCCCCGCCTCAACAAGTGGGCGGAGGTATTGCTATTATTTCTATTTATAAGTGTGCGAGGCAAGCTGGACATTGGACAGCTGTCGTTAGCTAATTGTTAATTGATGTGTGTCTAATTATGCCCGCCAAAGTAGCCAGGCAATAAAAACAATCACAGCCACATGACAAGAGCAACAGCAACAACGCCAGCAACAACAACAAACAGAATCAGCAGCAGCGTAAACTGAGCAAAGTTCTCGCATCGTGACTGGCCCCGAGGCCCAGTTGAGGGTTATTATGGTTTTTTATATATATATATATATATTTTGTGGCAACAAGTGCACAGTTTAGTTTATCTATTTTTGATTTGAATACTAGTTTTTCATTTTGTAGCTTTGCTGTTTGCTTATCGATTTGTACTCAGTGTCTGGTTCCGATCAATCGATTTTTAATGTAACTTTCTACACATTGGGGAAGATCTTGAGATGCTGTGCTGTGCTCTGCTCGTTGAGCGTACATATTAAACGATAGAAAGTTGATTTTTTACACAAATAGTTTATTTGCTCCTCCCCTCTTTCGACTTCAGTCTTCAAGCTGTGCTTTTGCCATTTAATCTGTTTACTTTAAAAGCAACACTTTGATTAAATTGAAGTTGGTTATGACAACTGGAGCTATTAGATATGAACATACCGATTCTATTCTTCTTTGCCTTGTTATCAAGTTGCCACTCCACTCTCCCCAGACTCTGAACCTAAACTGAGTGTGATGAGTAGCTCAGTTTATCGTTAGTCTAAATTTATCTAAGCTCTATTGAAGTTTATTCTTTTCTTACAACCTCATAGCGAGAGCTCCTAGAATTCAATATAGCTTTGGTAACATTAACCCCCTCACAAAGCCACAATGTGGACAAGTCACAGTCCGCAGCTGATTGACTGAGTGGCCCGGAAACTAATTTCACTTATGGTGAAAAGTGAGACCATCATTGTTATCATCATCAGCTTGTGCACACTCACACACACACCTATATATATATATATATATGTATATATTTGTACTATATAATCACAATAGAACGCCCCGTGCGACACGCCTAAGCCGATTCCCGTTTAATTTGAGACCTAAACCGAAAGAGAACGAAAGAACCAAAAAAAGGGCTAAACCACTTAACACCCTAACACCCTAATTGTCAAAACAAAGCGCACACGAAACATAACACACACTATATATATATATATATATACAAACACACACAGACTCACGAAAAGCAAAATCATCTTGCTGATTTCCTAGACCCGGTTGCAGTTCGCCGCGAATTCCTTGGCGAGCTCGGGTCTCTGAAGAAAAGCCAAACAAAAGTGGCTAAAGAAAATATTTTGTGGCAATTTTCTGAGAAGGCAAGACATGCCCAAAGTGGAACTGGAACTAGAACGGCACCGGCAAAAGGACGAAGAAGAATAACGTGCGCTTAACCCTTCGCTGACATTTGAATAAGTCCTGGCAACTTGTCAAAATCTGCGCGCTGTTGAATGAAAGGCAGGCGAGCATGGAAAAATGCTCAGCTGTCGGTAATCGTGTGCGAAAAATCTAGGTGCACAGGGGTAGCAGGGGTACCCTGATGGTGGAGTGAGGGGCGCCAGGTTTTCGCCAAGCATACAGCTCAGAGTTTCCTTTGAAGCGAGCCAGGATGAGCTCGTCTGTCTGACGTGCTCTATTGTCAGCCATTTAAGGGAAATGCGATTTGGATTTGGATTTGGATTGTGAGTGTGAGTGTGATTGGGATCGGGTCGAATCGCTTCGAGATGTGTCGATTTCTTTCATGTGCGAGCGCTTAGAACATGTGTTAAACAAGCGTGTTAAACAAATGCCTCAAGAGGCATGCAACATGCGTGTAACTAAGCACCGCACTTCACAACCAATAAGAAGAAAAAAAAATACAAAAATGTTCTACATTTGTTACTCATATTTTTCGGCAATAGTCTTAATGATTGATGCTAGGCTCTTCTGCTAACTCTCAACGCGACTCGACGGAAAATCGGAATGACTAAAGCAAAGTTGATATTCAGACGTATAAGGGAATTTCCTTAGCTCTGATCGCTCAGTTTCTGCACCACACTTAAGTTGAATATACTTTTATCGATCTAATCAAAACAAACCCTTCTCTCTCTCTCTCTCTCTGTCTCTCTCTCTCGCTTTCAGAGCAAGCGGCCGCACGTGGTCAGGACTATGCGAGCAGTTTGGCCAATGCCAGTGGTGATGAGCAGTCGCCCAGCAAGGGAGCAGGCGCTGCTGCAGACGCCGGCGCACTGCTCAGCTCGCCAACAGCTGGCAGCAACGGACAGGCGGCTGCTGCAACGAATGCCGCCAGCAATGGCGGCAGCAACAACAATCACAGCAACAATAACAATAGCGCTGGCTCTGGTTCCGGTAGCGGTGCGGGTGCTGGTGTAGGTGCAGGTGCTGGTGGAGGTACAGCAGCTAGTCGGTGCTCCCCAACGGCCAGCTCGTCCTCTGCATCTGCCGCAGCCCTGGCTCACGTGCAGCACACAGCACAGCAGCAGCAGCAGCAGCAGAGCGTTGGTCAGCCGACGGCTCATCATCATGCCGCACTCGCCGCCCATCAGCATGCGGCGGCAGCGGCTGCGGCGGCACATCATCATGCCGCTGCCGCCGCAGCTGTTCATCATGCACACCACGCCCACGCGGCGCACCATGCGCACGCCCATGTCCACGGACATGTGCATCATGCGCATGAGGCGGCATTTCTTGGCGCCGGCGCTGGCGCCGCAGCCAATCCGAATGGCCTGCTAACCGGCCATGGCGGTGATGTTTTAGTCGGTCCCGGTGGCACTGGTCCCGGTGGCAAGAAGAAGAACAAGCGCAGACATGGACGCACCATATTCACCAGCAGCCAGCTGGAGGAGCTGGAGAAGGCCTTCAAGGAGGCCCACTCCGGATGTCAGCGCCCGCGAACTGTTGTCGATGAAAACGGGTCTAGCCGAGGATCGCATTCAGGTGAGAGATTTGCGGCACTTTCAACACGCCAACACTTTCAACACGTCGCACTGCAGCCAATGCGCACGTGTCCATTTTTTATGGGCGCTCGTTAAGTTGGCGACCGTTTTTTATGGGGCGACGCCAAAGGGAAATCAAAAGCGGTGGCAGCTTCGATTTCGATGTTTCTGATTGCTTGCTGCTGGTTGAGTTGCTTCACTCGGCAAGTGTTGCCACACACGACGAGCACACACACACACACACACACCACACACACACAATGAGGTGGCACACTGATTACATAATTACGAGTGCCACACACTCTGGGCGACAACACGGCCAACAACAACTCAACTCCAAATGAAGTTAGAAAACGTGGCAAGCGGCACTCGCCGACACTCCAAAAAATTCGCAAATTGCAACAGCGGCAACAACGATCGGCACGTCAGGGATTGTATCATCTCAATGTCAATACCAATCCCAATCCAAATTTCTATCCTTGGCCCAGGGCAGCCATTGACTTGCAACACTTGCAGCACATGCAATCAGCTGCAGCTGGGTCAATGCCAGCTTTTCAAAGGGTTTGCCGCCCCTTTTCAAAACAAAACCTCAACTGGCATATTCACAAAAAAAACCCATAAGGGTTTATCCTTTATCCCCCCATGCGCCCATAACAACAACTGGCAAAATGTTGCATATACATGTATGTGTTCTGTCAAAGAAATGGGGGCACAGCACATACAACATACACATGCAACATACATATATATATATATATATATATACATATATAAGATCGCTAGTTAGTTAAACTCATTTTTCGTTTGACAAACATCGATTTGGAAGACAATTAAAGTTGTTTGAAAATTAAAATAATGATAAAAACAAAAAGGAAATAATTCTGGTAGATTTCAGTATTTATTAAGTAGCTCATAGAACTGATCAGCAATTTAAAAGTAGAAATCGCAAAATTAAAGCCACAATCCGTTTAGAAGACAACAATAATAGTTTTGCAATATCATCAATCTTATCAATGGCAATGAATCCATTCGAATTGGATAATATCAAAGCCAATTCTTTGCAACTCGTCATATTCATTTTGGCTACTTGAGAAGTGGCAAGATGGCGCCCACAACATTTGCCAAGCAGCGTGGAGGGTTGTGTGGGGTAAGTGGATGAGGAAGGAGGGGTATTAGGGGGGTAGGGTGTGGGGGTAATGAATTTAGCTTTTGCTGCGACTTGTGACGCCCACTTAAGGGGCTGCTGGGTTGGCCATAGAGCAGGGCAATGATAAAAGGAATTTCAGAGTGTTACTGCAATGAAGTGATGAGGGGGGTATGTGGGAAGGGGGACGGGCGAGTTGGAGTGGGAGGGGGAGGGGGAGGAGAAAGGGAAAGGGAACAAACTCAGACAGCATCAAATGAAAGCACAACAAGTCAGTGGCCAAATGGCTGACGTTCACTTTTTTAGCCAGAGCGTGAGGAATATATGAGTGCAAGTGAATGCATGAGAATGAGTGTGTGCGTAACTGTGAGTGTGTGTGTGAGTGTGTGTGCGTGTGTGTGTGTGAATATGTAAGTGTGTTTGTGCGCAAATCAAATTAACAAGCACAATTGGCTTAAAAAAAACGTAATACGCTCAAGTAACACGAGCATGAGAGAATGTCACACACACACACACACACACACATATACACAGTTGCACACACTCACACACACACACTGACATACACACACGCATTTCAATTAAGTGCAAATATGGCGCAGTCTGCGCACAGCTTGAAAAAGCCGTTCGGCAATGGCAATGGGAGTTGTTGTTGAGTGACTGCTGCTGCTGCTGCTGCTGCTGCTAGGGGCACGAGCAGGGGGTGGGGTGGGGCGGGGCGGGTAGGGGAGGTGGGTAAGGCTGAGGCAATCATTAGCAACAGCACGACAACAACGGCAAGAGCAAGGATGCGAATGCGAATGCGAAATGCGACTGACGATGAGTGCAATTTGAAGGGGCAGACGCACAAGGGGGCAGCAGCAGCAGCAACAACAGCAGCAGCAGCAATAACAACGACAATGGCAGCCATGCAAATACATGCAGACAACTGGTGCAGCACCAGCAGTGGCAACAACAACAACAATAACAACAACAACACCAGCAAATCGAAGCCACCATTAAAAGTTTGCTTCGCTCTCTGCGTTCGCTCTCGTTGATTGTTTTTGTTTTTGTTGTTGTTTTTTGTTTTTTTGCCTGCCGTTTTTAATTGCATTCCATTTTGTGTGTGTTGTGCCTGTGCCAGTGTGTGTGTGCGTGTGTGTGTGTGCGTGTGTGTGTGCATTCTCGCCCCTGTTGCCCTTGTTGTTTTCGTTGTTTTTCTGCGATGCTGTCAGCTCGTTTTTGCACGTAGCTACAAAGAACAAAGAAATATGGCCGGGCCGAAACATGTTTTCTGCTCTCTCTCTCTCTCGCTCCCTCTCTCTCTCGTACTCACACGTATGCATACTGACAGTTTATTCTCTCTCTCTCTCTCCCTGTCTCACTCTCTTGCGCTCCCTGTCTAGCGCTCGCCTTGCAATGGCCGGCAGAGTGTTTCAGAACAATCAGCCAAAAATTGCTCCGAATCGACCAATTTTTAGCTGCTGTCAAAAGTCAACGAATTTGATAGGCGACAAAAGCGTCGACATCGCTTTGGCTAACGCTTGCTAATGAGCTGAGCTGCACCTTGTTTGTCGCCTGTGCAACATTTTGTGTGTTTGCTTGCGTAACAAGGATGACAGATGCAGGACACCCAGCCAGTCACACAGCCAGACAGCTGGACAGCAGGCATTGTTTGGCTCACACAGGAATTGGCTCTCAGGCTTTGACTTAGTTCTGCTCCGGCGGTGCCTCATTGTTGCTTGTCTGCTAATTTAAACATGCTCTTGTCCACATTTTTGAGTACACTACACAAAAAGCACAACATTCAAGAAAAAAAAAAAAAAACAACAAAAAAATACTTTGAAATACAAAAGAATGGAAAAAATGCATTAAAAACGCATTTCGTTATGCACTCCACCGCCTGTTGCAATTGCCCAATTGCCCCATCGAGTTACAATAGGAAATTCTCAAAGGAAATCGCATTATTTCGGCTCAAGCACCAATACTTTAATACTTTTTCAAAAGCCGTCAATTGCCAAGAGCCAAAAAAAAGAAAGAAACGAACAACAAAAAAAACAAATGGCTTTTTATAATCAATTAGAATGCATTTCTAAGCCAAGACTGAAAGCTTAAGCAAATTAGTCATTTGAATATTCTATTAAATGTTTAGTGACGTCAAAGGACGCAAGCAACTTTTCGTTGATGAATCGAGGATCTACAGCAAAAGACGCGGCAACATGCAGGTCTTTCAAATATCATCATCTATATATATATGTATTATATATACTGAATATTTGGTCGGTCTCTTGCACCTGATAATCGATAACAATTCACTGAAACTGAAACTGAAAAAAGGCTCGATATGAATATGAACCGCTCTGCAAATATTTACGCTCCATTCCCTTCCCATCCAACTGGCAAAAGTGTAACAAATGCTTTGCATTATTCTTCGCTTTTTTCTCTCCATTTTTGTTTTTTTTTTTTGCATAATTGTTACTGCTCAGCGGCGCTTGCACATTAATTATACACTTTACACTGCACACCCCTCCCCAACAGCAACAACAGCAGCAACAGCAGCAGCAACAGCAGCAGCAACAGCAGCAGCAACAATTCCCTTATTTCTGCTTTTCGCGAAGCAGTTGCTGCGTTTTTAATGAGCTGTTAATACACACTCACTCACACACACACACACACACACACATACATATATATAATACTGTTAAAAATGATAATGCATAATTATGTAATTAACATTTAAACAAAAGAGGTTATGGCTATGAAACAAAAGCATTACACAAATTGCTATTTGCATATTTAGTGCGCTTTGCACATCATTGAGAAACACACACACATACAACAAAAACAAAAAAAAAACAAGTGAAATAATAACTAGAAGTGCTCTCAACAAAAGCAGTATACGACCAGCAGATACTCTGCACTTGCTATAATGAACAATAGGTAGATTGCCATATCGATGGCCAGACCCAAGATGCGACACCCAAAAGCAATTCTGATTCGATTCGAATTGTTTCTTTATGGGATTGATTGAAGATTGAAGAATAAATGTTTTTTGTTCAGTCTTTTTTCTCTTTTGATAGGGTATCAGGCATGAAACTGGTTGGCAAATGATGAATAAAAATGTTGCGCGTGCCGCACTTGCTAGCATTTGTGAAACCATGCCGCATTCAAGCGTTGACCCCCCACCATCGCCCATGAGCCAACATGCAACAACAACGACAACAACAACAACAACAACAACAACAAACTACCAGGCAAAACATGCCTAACAACACTGAGCACCACTGAGAACTAGGCGCACTTTAAAAAGTCATTTATCAACGCATTAGCAACACTGATTGAGTTCAACCCCGCCCACACGTCGCCTTGTTGCCTCGTCGCCTTGTTGCCTCGTTGCCTCGTTGCCTCGTCGCCTTGCTGCTGCTTGTACCTGGGGTGGGGGGTGTTTGTCTGATGTTAAGTGTTGTCAACTCAAGTAGATTTAATTTGCCATGTTTTCTGCTGCTGGTCCCCGCACTCCGCACCCCGCACCCCGCGCCACCCCCCGCACCCTCTTTCCGTCTTCTGTCTCGCTCTGTGTTTGCCTCTATTTTTGCGATCTCAAGTGCAACATGGCAAACAACAACACAGCTAAACAACTGTAAATGCAAATGTTGACATCACACCAACAAGCAACAACCAACAACACCCCACACCCCACACCCTCTGCTGGCCGCGTGGCAAGCAAGAATTTAATGCGACCGCCGCCGACTTGTATTTTTATGGTCCGCAGAGAATTGCGGCACATGCTGCATGCTCCGCAAGCCAAGAGCCACCGAATCTCAGTGCGAAGCATCAACAACCCTGGGAAAGCCTGAACTTTTCACAACAGCAGATTAAGTTGTCTCCTGGGACAGGACCCCGCCCCACCCCTCGGGGGAAGCGCACCCACTTTGCAAGTTGTCTGTGAAATTGAAAATTGACCGTTTAATGTACGACAAGAAAGAAAAGCTGCTTGCAACATTTTGTGCCACTAATAAGTACTCGAAAATCAGCGCGTGGCACTCGCCACTCACAACCTGATAACTTGTGTGGACTTAGAAAGCCAGGGGAAGATGGGAGGGAGGGGGTAGAGGCGGGGCTTGGCATTGCTCAAACAGCGACTGTCTGCGCGGGTCGCGTGACAAGTGCCGTTCCAGCTAAATCGGCTAAATCGGCTAAATCAGCTCAGACGGCAACGAGAGCAGTTCCCAAAAGCAAACGACTCCTTCTCCTGCTACGCTTCTGTTGTTGTTGTTGTTGTTGTTGTTCTTGTTGTTTGTGGCATTTAATTTAATTAGTTTTGTCCGCTTTGCTGTGCTCCATACGCCCACACACATATCCTTGGACCCTTATCCTTATCTGCCAATTTCGCTTTAGCCCATTTTTTTTTCTTCTTTTCATGCTATTTATGCGTAATTATCGCATTTGCACTAATGAAATTGTTGCTGTTTGTTTAGCGTGTAATGCGCTGGGTGCTTGCCACGCTTGCCACACTTGCCACTTCTTGAGACAGCCTGACGATGGTGTGTGTCCAACGGCTTCTTTACCATATCCTCGATACTGGCTCTCAACCTATATTTCTGTGTTTACTCTACTTTACCATGGCATAGTTAACTATGCTCTTGGAACAATGATGAACTCAAATAACCGAATGCATTAAATGATGCGATATAATAATAAGATCGTAACAAGATGTTTGCTTAGAGAGATCGGCGTAAATAAACATAAAAAGATGACATAATGCGAACAGCAGTCAAATATGCAAAGCACTCCAAGGCTAGATGGGATAAGATATTTCATTTAAATAGTAAATGTGAAGTAATAATTGAGAACAGCTGTACAATACTATAAAATAATAATATTGTCAGAGTATTAATCGTGGCATTTGCACTGTGATCCATTCCAGGTGTGGTACCAGAATCGCCGGGCCAAGTGGCGCAAGACGGAAAAGTGCTGGGGCCACAGCACGAAGATGGCCGAGTACGGATTATATGGGGCAATGGTGCGGCACTCGCTGCCGTTGCCGGAGACAATCATCAAGTCGGCCAAGGAGGATGAGTCTGTGGCGCCATGGCTGCTTGGCATGCACAAGAAGTCGCTGGAGGCCGCCGAGCTGCTGAAGAGCGACGAGAGCGACAGAGAGACGCCCACCTCGGATGACACAAACACCTCCTACTCGGCGGGCAGCACACACAACTCGCCCATCTCGAGCTTCTCGATCTCGCGTCTCCTCTTCGATGCCCCTCCGCCGCCGTCAGCTGGCAGCGGCAAGCAGAGCAAGCACGCTGCCCACGCTGCCGCCCATGCCCACGCCCATGCCCACGCCCAAGCCCATGCCCATGCGCACATTGCAGCGGCGAACGCAGCAGCCGCTGCCGCTGCTGCAGCGCATCATCATCATGGGGATGCCGCGGCAGCCGCTGCCGCTGCTGCGGCAATGCATGCGGGCATGCAGCATCATCATCACCATCACCATCATCATCAGCAGGGGGGAGCGGCGACAGGCGGACAGCAGCAGCAGCAGGCACACCACCACCAGCACCACCCGTACAACCAGCAGCAGCATCTGCATCACCTGCAGCAGCTACAGCAGCAGCAGCAGCAGCAGCAACAACAACAGCAGCAACAGCAACAGCAACAACAGCAGCAGCAACAGTTGGCTGAGCAGCAGGCAGCAGCCGAGCGACGTCAGCAGCAGCAGCAGCAGCAGGCGGCGGCGGTGCAGCATGCGATGCACTTGCACCACCATGGCACCACCGCTGGCTATGCCGAGGCAGCTGTAGCCGCTGCCGCTGCCGCCGCAGCTGTTGCAGCCGCTGCGAACGCACGCAATGCTGCCGCAGCGGCCGCTGTTGCTGCCGTCGCCGTAATCGATTCCGAGCCGGACGAGGAGAATGACGAGGACGAGGACATGGACAAGGATTGCGATGCGGATGTCGATGGTGACGTCGATGCCGATCCGGATGCCGATCTCATCCATGCAGATGTCGAAGCAGACACCGCAGACGACGATGCCGATGCCGACGGGGATGGCGAAATAGATATTTGCGACGACGACGACGAGGAGGAGGCAGCGCAGGCGCAGGCCCTGACGCACCAGCAGCTCTTGCTCAAGGTGAAGCAGGAGCAGGCGAACGCAGGCGCTGCTGATGGCAGCAGCAGCACCACCACCACCACCAGATGAAACATGTACATCGATGTGTTGTTCTAAACGAGTCTGGGATGCGGAGATACACACGCACACACACACACACTCACACACAGAAAACTATATATATATAGATATATATATATATATATAGATATTGAGCATGGTCGCAGGCAACGAGGGGGAGGGGTGGGGGAAGGGGGGCGAGTGGGCTGTCCACAACTCGGCAATGATACATTTCTAAGCATAATTCTAATAAATTAATTAAATATTTAACTCGACAACAATTTTTTTCATATACTTAAGGCACCCAAAAAAAAACACAAAAAACAACTAAAACAAATATAATAAAAAAAACACACACACACACAAACACAACACGCATTCAATATACACAATAATTAAATTTTTTTTTTTTTTTTTTTTGGTATAATGTATATATTAAATTATTAAACAAAAGATCAAACTTTAATTGTAAGCTGCTAAAGGAGAAAAAAAAATAAGAAGAAAAAACACAAAATATGCTATATGTGATTTAATTTAGTTTTTAATTCTATTGCAAAAGCACCAGAACAAAACAAAAAGGAAGTAAAACAAAAGGCTTTTTATTGTTTTAAGATAACAATTTTTTTGTGTATTTTTAAAATCTTTTTTTTTTTAATTTTACTGTTGTACCCAAAATGTACTCATAATTCACATAATTAGCAATTATCGATTTTTGATCTTATGCATTGTCATCCACAGTTCTGTATAGATCATGTATATAAATATACACATATATATATATATATATATATATATATATATATATATACTGCACTCTTTTCGCAGCGCAATTTCAATTCCAAACACAATTCTTAAGCAAAAAGTAGTGCAGCTTCGGCCATGCCGAACTTAAAATACCCTTGCAGACACCCATTGCGATTATCTCATATGATCTGATCTATCTAGCCCAGTGATTCCTACTAGTTAAGTTGCTAGCACTAAGCCGCCGTATCCAGTTTCTCGTTTAGTTTCACAATAAATAATTTAAATAATTTTTTCTCTCATTTTGAATCATTTCTGACGATTCCCATAAAATCGAATTTACAAATTGCGTTTAATCATTTGAAAATTGTGTCTAAACATTAATTTATTTGTACAAAAAAATACTTTTGCGAGCAACGATTCAATTATTTTCAAACAGATATCAAATGCACAAAAGTTCAGATGCTAAGACGCTAGTCATGTTCAATCTATAAATATCCTCTGCAAGGGCAAACTCACACACACACACACACACACACGCAAGTAATGCAATACAAAATGAAAGACAACATCTGTATCTGATTCAAAAACAAAGAGAAATCAATTGTAGACTTTATATATGATGCACACACAGATACACACACACACACACACACACACACACACACACACATTTATTTCTCTCATGACTTCTTTGTAAGCTTATTCGAAACTATGACTCGAATCAAATTGGGGAAACATTAAAGAAAAACAATACAAAACACACAAATTGTGTAATAGCAAGTAATAAACAGCAACCACATGAACAAAATGCAAATATACAAAACACAAATAAACATAAATATATATGAAAGTTAGATAAAATAAAATCGCAAAAATACGATATAAATACAACTTAATTACAAATATTATTGTCTCTGATTTGGGTGACTGGGGCTGTTTCATAGAGTTGCTCCTTGCGAATTGAAGGACTTATATTTTGGGGACCACATAAAAAGTTCCAACGATTTGCATTGAAACATTTCCAAGAATTGCACGAAAAATTAAGAAAAATGAAAAATCGAGCGGATCTTTGTCTTGGACCAAACAAATCTCTTGTCCTGATGATTTTTTTTTTAGGCGGCTACCAACTGGTCAAGAACATCCGAATCGTCTGTGCATTTTATAATTTGCTTTAAACATTTCGATTTTTACGAATGAGCAAAAAAATTTAAATATTGACTTTGAATTTAACCGTTTGTATTTGTATAACAGTTGAACTGCGCCCTCTTTGGGTCATTATTATTTCAAAACTCTGGCATCACAGGCTATACTTTACAGTGCTAGTACAGTAGATGGCGCTGACAATGCAATGCGTATTTGCTGTTTGCCCAAAATAATACATAGGTGGCGTTAGCGTCAATTATTTATGTGCTAAATAAAAAAATTTGTTTAAGATCCATTATTTGTTTTGCAGAACTATTTATTAAAAAATCTATAGAAAATGTAATAATAGAAAAATAAAAAAATTAAAATTAAAAGGCGATCGCATTTACCGGGATTGAACCGCGTTCTGCAAAGCTGTGCGGCCTGTCTAAATGTGCTAGAGTGTTCTTATGAGAGTAATTGGGGACCCGTTGGCGTAGAGCGTTAAGTGGTGTGGTGTCTAAGCAAAAGTACAGACACGGGTTCAAATACGTTCATTGAGTTTCGGTTGACAGAGCAACATGGCAATTTGAAATGAAGTTTAAGTTAATAATTACATGTGAGAATTTATTCCTCTTCTATATGTATGCGCCTCCTAGACAACACAACAGTTGTGTTGATGTTTTTACCCTACCCCACCACCACACCGTACCCACAAATGCCTCTCTCCTACTACACCTCGCCCACACACACACATCTAACCATCATCGGAAAAACAAACCCCTATCGCCACGCGCCGTTTGTTCATAATATTGCAAAATGAGCGTGCCAGTGTATGAAAATATACATTGCCTAGGGGATATTAAAATAAAATTCTCCGCAGGAAGCCGAGAAAAGTCGTTGAATTTCAAATTCTAGACTCTCGGTGCCAAATGAAACGAGAAACAAATTTTACTTTTTGGTTTGTTGCTAAGATTTGTTTATTTTTTTAATACTTGATGCATTTGGGGTGCTAGGAAATCGATTTAATCAATAATTACAAATCAGCTCACCTAAAATAATGCCTATATCTTCCACAGATTGTAACTAAAGATTGATTGCAAAAACAAAAAAAAATCTAGGCCGATTTACTTTTATATATACGCCGTTAATTGCTAAAATGAGATATTTCACACATTTTAACTATCACCAAATATAAAGGATATATTACTGAATGGTATCTCTGCGAATGTCCTTCTAATATTGTCTTGGAAGGACGTTCAGCCCACACCGCTATGCACTGCAGTTTTTGAACTAGAGTTACCATATTGAATAGAGTCATTAATAATTATTGTTGAGACATGAAAAGAAACTGCCGCCAAGCCCGCAGCGCCGCAAGAAGGCTATTTGCAACCAGCTGTCAAAGTATTCCGCGGTCGGTTACGCCCGACTGAGACATTCTCACTTATTTATATATCTTTTTGGCTAATTTTACTATGCGTTTGTCATGATTTTTAATTTTTGGCAGCCTTGAAAACACTAACCGAGAACAAAAAAAAAAAAACACAAGAGAAAAAATCAAAATAAGTAAATAACAAATTAAGACTTCAAATGCTGAGTGTCATTTTCATTTGTTGACTTTGGCAAAATAGCGCATAAATCAAAACAATGCGATGCCGCGATAGCAACCACCCCCACCCCCTCCTCCCAAGGGACATTGAAGACTTCCGCGCTGGTGACGCACTATATTAACTCAAATAAATACATATATATATTTATATATATATGTATATATATACAGACATATGCACATGCCTCTTTGGCTCTCCTGTGACACAGATGTGTGCGTGCGCCAAGCCAATTGCGTGGGCCTGGACCTCTTTGGCCAGCTGCCAGGGTGTACGGCTGGGTTGGACAGAAGAGATGTGTTGGGGGTTGGGGGGAGTCGCATGTCGGATGCGGCCGTGTGTCGCTAATCTGTAGCATTATAAATTGAACCGATCTGGTTGCGTGCCATAATTCAAATGTGCTCTTAGCGCAAACTGAAAACTTTGATTCAAGGGCACAACACATGTACAATAATAATAATAATAATAATAATAATAACGCTAGAATATATATATAGACTTGATTTCATACATAAATTACATATTTAGCCCCAAAGAAATAGAAACATTTAAAATTGTAACTTCTTAAAACACCATCTGAATATTAAGTAAATTGTTTGTATCACTTAGCCAAGTTACGAACCGTCAAAGCTGGAAGCTTTCAAGTTCAAACTTCAGCGTAAATTGAGAGAAGCTTTAAGCTTAGCAAACGAGACGAGGCTTGTGCATATAAAACATTAGCGACTTTCAGAGATATGTCGATGTGTGTAATAAACGATTTGATGTGGAGTAAAAACTGTCAATAATATATATATGTGAGACACTGATGTGATTAACTAACTAAACTAAACTAACAAGCAACTAATTTAAATGATCTACACTTTAAGTCAAATGGGATCCGCAACCACTTAAAAATGCTAAGACGCTTAAAGTTTCAGGGGCTTAACGAACAAGTTTTGCATGGAAATTAAATGAAATGTGATACAACTTGTCTCTCTCTCTATTTGAGCGACTAAGCGATTGATGTCAGGGTGTGAAAAGACGCGAGTGTCGAACATATGTTCAACAGAATTGCTGTTCGCTATTCAAATGCCTGTTGCCTAAAAATAAAATGCGATTTTGAGCCATCAACGCCCGACACTTGCAGCGTGTGGATGCGGCTGCGGCTGCGGTTGCGGTTGCGGCTGCGGCTGTTGCATGCTGACTAATGCGTCGAAACGTAAGGAAAAACGCTTTTCTTCAAGTAAAAAGAAAACAAACAAATGAAAAATGCTCGGCATATGCCGCTTATTCACAGCACAGCACAACACGAAACTCACCCATAAAATAAAAACTAAAAATTATAAATCAAAAAACCAAAAACCGAAAAAACCAAAACCGAGCAAAATCGACAAAATGCCCCGCAAAGTGTCAAAAATGCGTCAAGATCAAAGCGAGCTACAAATTTCACCGCCAGTTGGCAAATGCAACGATAAATTGGCCACAGAAACACACACACAAAAGAATATAAATATGCATATATATATATATATATATATATATACTTACTGTACTTCTGCGTCTTTGTACCTGTAAACATGCCAACATTTGTACACTCTTTTCGTTCTTTACTTACTGGGAAAATAATTTGGGTAGATAAACCAAATGC